CGGCTCAGGTCATGGTTCATGGGTTGAAGCCCCGAGTCAGGTTCTGTGCTAACAGCACGGAGCCTGCTTGGGATTCTCTCTCTCTCTCTCTCTCTCTCTCTCTCTACCGCACCACCACCAAAACGTAAATAAACCCCCCCAAAATTTTAAAGACATTATAGTAATTAGAAACCATATGCCCCAATAATAATTTTTTCACATTTGTTCACAAGTCAGAGAAACTTCTCCCCATGTTACGCCCTTGACTAAACTGAGTGTCTCTGGAATAACCCAAAAAAGTGATGTTCACGTCTCATGAATTGGCTCACATTTGCCCTCTGTACCTTCACAGCTATTCCTTCTAGAAGAAATGAGAGAGAGAAAGTATGATGGGTATGCTCGAGTGATACAGAAATCATGGAGGAAATTTGTGGCCCGGAAGAAATACGTCCAAATGAGAGAAGAAGGTATTGTAGTCATTTTGTTTCATGCATTTAACAAATCTCAAGAATAATTGTGAGCTCAGACGGAGTTACAAGTTCGCTTTACTTTGCCTATAATGTCACGTGTTAAAATCTTGTATTCATTTTGAGTTTCTCTGTGTATTTCCACACAATATTCCTCCTCTTTCTGGGGCCCTGGCCCTTCTCTCTTCTCTGGCCTTTCGGGAACTGCAGCCTCAGACCTCCTGTTGAACAAGAAAGAGAGAAGGAGGAATAGTATTAACAGGAACTTCATCGGGGATTACATCGGAATGGAGGAACACCCGGAACTCCAGCAGTTCGTGGGGAAAAGGGAGAAGATCGACTTTGCAGACACAGTCACCAAGTACGACAGAAGGTTCAAGGTACACACTCATCGCTGCCCATTGTGGGGGAAGTTGCCTTTTTGACATGTCTGTCCACCTTCTTTTTTTAAATTTTTTTTAACGTTTTTTTGTTGATTTCTGAGAGAGAGAGAGAGAGACAGCGTGAGAAGGGGAGAGTCAGAGAGGGAGACACAGAATCTGAAACAGGCTCCAGGCTCTGAGCTAGCTGCCAGCACAGAGCCCTACGCGAGGCTCGAACCCCCGAACAATGAGATCATGACCTGAGCCACAGTTGGCTGCCCAACCATCTAAGCCACCCAGGTGCCCCCTGTCCACCTTCTTAAAGCACCTCTCTTTACAGGGTGTAAAGCGAGACTTGCTTCTTACTCCAAAGTGCTTGTACTTAATTGGACGAGAGAAAGTGAAACAGGGCCCAGACAAAGGCCTGGTGAAGGAAGTGCTGAAGCGGAGAATCGAGATGGAGAGAATCTTGTCCGTGTCCCTCAGGTGAGCGGCGAGGGTGGGAGGCAAGGCTGCCCGGCCCTCCTCATTTCCGCCTATCAGTGGTTCTAAACTGGAGAAAGGCCTGGCCCGGCTCCCCCGTTGTCAAGATCCTGGTGAAGAGAACTGAGTTTTTCCTCTTCTTCCCTGAGAAGGCCTGACCTTCGTAGGTCTCAGGAATGAGATTCCAAGAAGTGGCCTTCTGGTCAGCTCCACTAGTCAAGGGGAACTCGCATCCTTTCTTCCCACAAAGTAAGAGAAAAACCTGGTTTCTGAAACACAGTATAAATGCTTTTACTGAAGTGGGGCCAGGGGACCAGGGTCCTGTCCCGAAGCCCACCTTGCCCACATCGAAGACCTGACCCATTTCCCCAGCAAAGGCCCAAGCAGCCCTGGCGTCATTGCCAAATGCCCCCTTCAATCCCAAGTTCACAGGCAGGGGCCTCAGCTTTCTTTTGGCAGAGGGGCTTGTATGTGTAAGGAGACGCCTTTTAAATCTGCCCTGCTCAGAGTTCCCTCAGTTCCTTCTCATGAGAGGAAATCCTCCCAGTCACAGAAGGCTAAGAAAAGAGGAAGAAAGGCCCCTCTGAGCTCAGTGGCTTCCCCCTCGAGTGGCATCTGTGGGCCCTTCTGAGACCACTGCTTCTGCGGAGGGAAGGCTACTGGCTGCCATTGCGTTGAAAGTCGTGAGGTTCTGGTGCCTTATGAACACCTCTTCCTGGAATTGGGATACCTCTAACCTCTTATTCCACACAGAAGACAAAACTGCCGCTCTCAGGAAAAAGCTGGGGTTTTGTGTGCTCGGGCGTCCGAGCTACGAGGCTGGAAATCCTGGCTCCAGTGTGATAATCCAAAACAGATTTCAAGTTGTGTCCATTCTTGCCTGTGTGACTGTGGTTTCTGGTCCTCTCTGTTCCCAGTTTTCCTGAGAAAGGGCCAGGTGGGGGTGTGAGGTCAAGTGTTGAAAACGTTTCATTCAGCTCAGGATGTGGGGAAACTTCTAAGCGGATGAGCCCATTAGCGGCCTTCTTTGCAGACCCCACCTCAGTGGGTCTCAGGGCCGTAGGTTTTAAGCAAGAGTTCCAGGCACTGTCCAGTTTTTTTTTTTTTTTTTTAAATTTTTTTTTAATGTTTTTTATTTATTTCTAGGAGAGAGAGAGAGAGAGAGTGAGCAGGGGAGGGTCAGAGAGAGGGAGTCACAGACTGAAACAGGCTCCAGGCTCTGAGCCGGCAGTCAGCACAGAGCCCGACGCGGGGCTCGAACCCACAAACCACGAGATCATGACCCAAGCGAAAGCCGGACGCCCAACCGACTAAGCCACCCAGGCGCCCCTGTCCAGTTTTGAGAAGACCTTCCCGAGCATTCTGCTCACGAGCTGGGCCACAGCCTGAGCTGGGCAGCCTGCCGGCCACACTCCCTGCGAGCTGGGCACTGAGGCTGCCCTTGCTGTTCCAAGGAACCCAACCAGAAGCTTCTTTGTTTCTTGCATGGGGACAGGCCACACCTGGGCTAAGCGGGGTTGGCAGAAGCCTGTCGTGTGCTCCTGACAGGGGCAGTGGCTCAACGCCAGGGAATCACCGCTCCGGGCACATGTGCGCGTTACTCTGAGAGTGACTTTCATTCTTCCTGTTGTTATTGCCCAGGCCTGTGTCTTCAGTCTTCAGGCCACTTAGGCAATGCTTGATCATAAATAACCATATGTCTCCATTTATATCGGGCACTTTGACACTATCTTTTTTGTCTAGGCCTTGGTGTTTATCAAGGTGTGGGCTGTCCCCCCCAAATTCTTTCCTTCTGTCTTGTTTTCTCGAACAGCCTTTGGGGCTGCCTTGTCTCGTAGTAAAACCACCTTCTACTGCTGCTTCCTCACGGTCTGGACGTTTGCTCTCTTACGGCCTTTCCCTGTTACAGGATGTAATAAAATGAGGTGCTTAGTCCAAAAATTGTGGCTCCGGGGAGAGAGGAGTCTGAGTCACTGTAACTTGTGATCTGTGCATGTTGCAGTCACAGGGCCTCACGTTCACCCAGATTCATACTGTTCCCTCATTTCCTTCATCCACCGGGTTAGGCCAGTAATCTAAACCAAGTGAGGAAGGCACCACATGGGTGATGTTATGTACGGAATCAAACGCAGGGTAGAAATTGATTGTGGTACCAGACCACCAAGCGTGTGTGTGTGTGTGTGTGCGCACGCATGCGTGTGCACATGCTTTCAAACTATCTCAATCCTGGTATAGGGAAGGATTTTAACAGATGTCTTGCACTTCAGGGAAAAAGTTGTATTGTGCGTTCATGTGCCAGAGACTGTGAGGCTTAGTGCTTGACTACCGGCTGCAATGACGGCCCCATGGCTTTTTCTAGTTAAGACCATCAGTGTGCCCACAACCTTGGTCTTCTGGACCACCTCTAACTCTTACTACATAAACACTGGGAAAGCAGAATGGGCTTGCAGCTATTGGGCCTGGCCTATGTATTTTTCTTTACCTAAAATTTTCTTTCTTTTTCTTAAAAAGATTTTTTTAATATTTATTTTTGAGAGAGAGACAGGGTGTGAACAGGGGAGGGATCGAGAGAGAGAGACACACACACACAGAATCTGAAGCAGGCTCCAGGCTGTGAGCTGTCAGCACAGAACAAAATGAGAGGCTCAAACCCCTGAACCATGAGATCATGACCTGAGCCAAAGTCAGATGCTTAACTGACCGAGCCACCCAGGCACCCCTAAAATTTTCTTTTAAGATTTTATCTTTAAGTAGTCTCTATATCCAGTGTGGGGCTCAAACTCATGACCCCAGGATCAAGAGTTACATGCTCTACTCACAGCCTGCTAGGCGCCCCAGACAAAGCCTCTTTAGACAAAACTAACCACAATGCCGTGATCACCGCTAAGGAGATGAACACTAAATCCTTCATATCAAGTATTTAGTCCTGCTCTCATTTCCCAAACTGTCGCATGGTTGTTTTCACACAGTTGGTTGGTTTGCTTGGGAGCTGTGAGCCCATTCTGCTTTCCCAGTGGTTATATTATATAAGAGTTAGAGGTGGTCCAGAAGACCAATGTTGTGGGCACATTGATGGTCTTAACTAGAAGCCATGGGGCCGTCATTGCAGCTGGTAATCTAGCACTAAGCCTCACAGTCTCCGGCACATGAACGCACAATACAGCTTTTGCCCTGAAGTACAAGACATCTGTTAAAATCCTTCTCTATGCCAATATTGAAATAGTTTGCCCCCTCCCTGCTCTTATATTATTTTTGTTTCCCTTCCCTTATGTTCATCTGTTTTGTATCTTAAATTCCTCATATGAGTAAAGTCATGTGATACTTGTCATTCTTTTATTTGGGTCCTTTTCCTTTTAATCAAACTGGCTAGGGATTTATCAATTTTGGTAATTCTTTCAAAGACCCAAGCTGCTGGTTTCATTGAAGCATTGATTTCTGCTCTAATCTTTATTATTTCCTGTCTTCTCTGGTTTTGGGTTTTATTTGCTGTTCTTTTCCCAGATCTTTGAGGTGTTAGGTTAGGTCTGAGACCTTTCTTCCTTCTTTAGGAAGGCCTAGATTGCTATGTACTTCCCTCTTAGGACTGCTTTGGCTGTGTCCCAGAGGTTTGGGGCTGTGGTGTTATCATTTTCATTGGCTTCCATGTACTTATTAATTTCCTCTTCAATTTCTTGGTTAGCCCATTCGTTCTTCTTTTTTTTTTTTTTTTTTTAATATGGAATGCTTCATGAATTTGCATGTCATCCCTGCACAGGGGCCGTGCTAATCTTCTCTATCTTGTTCCAGTTTTAGTATATGTGCTGCCAAAGCGAGCACCCCATTTATTCTTTAGTAGGATGTCCTTTAGTCTCCAAGTATTTATTATCTTTCCAAATTTTTTCTTGTGCTTGAAAATAGCATTGTGTCATTGTATTGTTTCATAGCATTGTGGTCTGAAAATATGCATGGTATGACCTCGATCTTTTTATAACTGTTGAGGTCTAATTTGTGTCACAGTATGTGATCTATTCTGGAGAATATCCCATGTTCACTCAAGAAGAATGTGTGTTCTGTTGCTTTAGGATGAAATGTTCTGAATATATCTGTTAAGTCCATTTGGTCCAGTGTGTCATTCAACGCCATGGTTTCCTTGTTGATTTTCTGTTTAGATGATCTATCCTTTGCGTAAGTGGGGTGTTGAAGTCCCCTACTATTATGGTATTATTATCAATGAATTTCTGTATATCTGTGACTAATTGATATATATATTTGGGTGCTTTCACATTTGGAGCAAAAATGTTTACAATTGTTAAGTCTTGGTGGATAGACCCCTTAATTATGATATAATGCCCTTCTTCATCTCTTGTTACAGTCTTCATTTTAAAATCTAGGTTGTGTGGTATAAGTATGTACTCTGGCTTTCTTTTGGTGACCATTAGCATGATAGATGGTTCTCCATCCCCTTACTTTCAATCTGTAGGTGTCTTTAGGTCTAAAGTGGGTTTCTTGTAAACAGCATATAGATCAATCTTGTTTTCTTGTCCATTCTGTTACCCTATGTCTTGATTGGAGCATTTAGTACATTGACGTTTAGAGTGAGTACTGAAAGATAAGAATTTATTGCCATTATGTTGCCTGTAGAGTTGGAGTTTTGGGTTATGTTCCCTGGTCCTTTCTCCTCTTTTGCTTTTGGTCTTTTTTTTTTTTTTTTTTTTTTTTCCCATCTTTTCTCCCCTCAGTGAGTCTCCCTTAAAATTTCCTGCAGGGCTGGTTTAGTGGTCACAAACTCTTTTAATTTTTGTTTGTCTGGCAAACTTTTTATCTCTCCTATTTTGAATGACAGACAGCCTTTGCTGGATAAAGAATTCTTGGCTGCATATTTTTCCGATTCAGCACATTGAATATATCCTGCCACTCCTTACTGACCTGCCAAGTTTCTGTGGATAGGTCGGCTGCGAACCTGATCTGTCTTCCATTGTAGGTTCAGGACTTTTTTCCCTTGCTGTTTTTATGAGTCTTTCCTTCCCTGAATATTTTGTGAATTTGACTGTGATATGCCTTCTTGATGGTCGGTTTTTGTTGAATTTAATGGGAGTTCTCTGTACTTCCTGGATTTTGATATCTGTGTCTTTCCCAGGTAAGGAAAGTTTGCTGCTATGATTTGCTCACATAACCCTTCTACCCTTTTTTTCCTCTCTTCATCTTCTGAGACTCCTATGATTCTCATGTTACTCCTTTTTAATGAATCACTGAGTTCTCTAATTTTTATTTTGTGCTCTTTTGCCTTAGTCTCCCTCTTTTATTCTGCTTCATTAGTCTCCATAAGTTTGTCCTCTGTATCACTGATTCACTGCTCTGCCTCATCCATCCTTGCCGCTGTGGCATACATAAGAGATTACAGCTCAGTTACAGCATTTTTTATATCATCCTGACTAGTGCTTGCTTCTTTTACCTTCACAGAAAGGGATCCTAATCTAGTTTCAATCCCAGCTAGTCTTATTATTGTGATTCTAAATTCTGGGTTCAGACATCTTGCTTATATCTATGTTAATTAAGTCCCTGGCTGTTGTTTCTTCCTTTTCTTTCTTTTGGGGTGAGTTCCTTCGTTTCATCCTTTTGGAGGAAGAAAAGGAATTAGTATAGGAAGAAAAATTAAAATTAAAAAATTAAAATAACAGAAATCATATAAAGGATGCTAGATTTTAGGTGTGTTTTGGTCTGGTTGTTGAAAGAAGCTTGATAGATTAGAAAAGAAAGGGAAAGATAAGAAAAGGAAAAAAACAAAATAGGGGAAAAAAGGGAAATGTTTGAAAATTTGAAAAAGTGAATGCAATAAAATAGAATAAAGTGAAATGATGAAAGTAAAATAGAATTTTAAAAATTTACAAAAGTAAAAAATATAGTAGAAAAATTAAAAAATTTTTTAATAAAAATGAAAAATAAAAATATATTTTTTTCTTTCTGTATTCAAGAATAAGGAAAGAAAAAGAAAAAAAATTGAATAAAAGGACCAGTGAACAGAATGAAGTACATTGAAATTACATCTGGTTTCCTGTAGAAGTCAAGCTGTGAAGGACTTGATAGTCCGTAAACTAAGCAGGTGGAGAGACTTGAGTTTGTCAAGAGCGCTGTTGGCCCATTTGGGCAGGGTTTAGTGTAATGGCTCTGTTCTCCACTAGATGGTGCTGCTTAGTTTCCTGGGGTGGATTGCTGTGGTGCTTGTAGGTGTGTATGCGCGTGCCTGGGCGGGGTGAAAATGGTGTCGTCCTGCTACCCAGTCTCTGGTATCTGAACTCTGTGTTCTCCACAACTGGCAGTCAAGCACCCTTCCTTTATCTCCAGCTTCTGTCCACTCCTCACTTCTACACTGTCTGTGACCAAGTCGTCAGACTGCCAGGCGACACCTCCCTCCTGAGTTTTATCTCAGAGGTGGCTGTGTTTCCCGACCCCTCACTTCTGAGGGACTGCAGCTTTGATCTGCTCAGACCTTCTAGAGGTGGGTCTCACTGAGCAATGGCTGGGTGCCGCCCGCCCCCAGGAACATTCGCGAGACCACACTGCTGCCAGTGCCCAGAGGCTGTAGCTGGGTGCCAGCCCGCCCGAGTAAAAGTTCACGCAATGGTGTAGCAGCAGTGTTTCAGGGATTATGGCAAATCACAAGACACAGCTGGTACCAGGCTTCACCCTTAACGTCCTTGTTCTGGCACCAGCAAATGTGGCTGTTCTCTGGGGTCCAGTGGGGTCTTTGCCTGTGCGGGGGGGGGGGCGGGCACAGCCTCTGTCAGGTGTCCTCCCAGCAGGGGAACCGCCTCTCGCCTCGTTGCCCAAGGGCCCCCAGACCTCGCTGTGCTCCTGGGGATTCGCCCTTCCCACCAGAGCGCCGCCAGGTATTGAGCTGTAGAGTTCCAGACTCTGCACTCCCTCCCCCTGTTTATAGAGTCTTCATAGAATTTAAACCCTCTCCTTTTTCCTTTCTCCCTTTTTTATTCAGTCTCTTCGGCTGTTTCTACTTTTCCACTTTGTCTCCAGCTGCTTTTTGTGGGGGGTCCTTTGCCATACTCTCCCCGGTCTCCGACTTCTCTCCACAAGCAAAAACAGCTCCCTGCCCTCTGAGGCTTGTCTCTCCCCCCCGTTCACCCCTCTGCACTGTGTACCTGATGAGTTCTGTGGTTCGGGTTGTGCAGATTGTTGTGGTAATCCTCAAATCCTCAAGATGGTGTAGTGTTGATCTGGCTGCATTGCAGGGACAGTAGACAAAAAAACCTTCCATGCTGTTCTGCCATCTTGGCCCCCCCTCTGATGAGGCTTCTAATAGTCCTTGTCATTTTTTTTAATTAAATATTTTTATTTATTTCTAGGAGAGAGAGAGAGAGGCAGCATGAGCAGGGGAGGGTCAGACTCTGAAATAGGCTCCAGGCTCTGAGCTGGCAGTCAGCACAGAGCCCGACGCGGGGCTCGAACCCACGAACCGCGAGATCATGACATAAGCGGAAGTCGGACGCTTAACCGGCTAAGCCATCCAGGCACCCCGAGTCCTTGTCATTTTAATAGCTGATCACCAGAGGCCGGAGACCAAAAACTATGTGGCTCCCTGTCTGGTTCAATAGATTTTCCAGTATGTCTATGTGGGTGGACATTGGCTAAGCCTGGAAGTTAGAACAGCCTGCTTTGCCACTGCTCAGCTGACCTGAAGCATTACTGAAATCTTGACCTGATGTAACCTTTGAAATTTGGGAACCTGGAAGCTGTCAACATTTTTGGACTGACCACCTACCTTCTGTTCAACTCTGGAATTTGGAGGTGAATGAGAACATAGTCACTGCCTCAAGGAGCTCCCTGGCATTCTGGAAGGGGAGCAAATCCCTGAGTAGGCATTTGCCATACAGGTTACAAGTGTTAGGAGATGATACACAGGATACTCCTGGGATACAAGATGGCAACGGGCCTGCTCACTGGGGGGTCTGTGAGGCTTCGCTCGGAGGCCCGTGTTTAGGCCTGATACAGCGTGTGTCTGCACTTGTTCAGGGAAGTCAGGTAGCCCCAAAACAGGTGCCACTGGTTTCTTTGAATGGTAGAATTCTGGAGAAGGTTTATTTTCTTCTTCTTTGTGTTTATTTTTGAGAGAGAGAGCACGTGTGCAGGCGAGCAGGGGAGAGGCAAAAAGAGAGGGAGAGAGAGCCCGATGCGAGGCTTGGACTCATGAACCATGAGATCATGACCTGAGCCCGACACTTAACCGACGGAGCCACCCAGGCCCCCGGGCTTATTTTCTTCTTTAACCACCTCTGTACTATCTAGTGTGCTAAAAGGAGCATATATAAAGGTTTAAATAAAGGCAGCGCTGGCCTAAGAAATTGCCTTTTCATCTTAAGGAAAAAAACTCCTTTAAGTCTTGACTCAGTGTTTTGTAACATTTTTTTTGTGAAAAGATACTGGTTAGGGGAGTGAAACAAGATTTTCTAGCGTTGTCAGCAATATAAGAAGCAAATAGGGAGCCAAACCAGGGACTACTAATAAAGGATCTTTCAACACAGGGGACTACATCAAACATCTGTAAGGAATTGCAGCTTGAGCATATGAATAAGACAGGGGTGAGGTCCAAAGATAAGTCTGAATTTTTAGAATAAATAAATGTAAAAGCTTTGTTTTCAGACCCTGGAGCATGGGCTGAGGAGAGGCAGATGAACTTGAAACTCTGGCCTGACTGAGGGGGGGTTTCACTGACTCCCATGCCTGGGTCACCGGAGGGAAGGGTTTTTAATTTGATGGCTCAAGTCAAAGTGTCCAAACACTTCTTCTCATTTCCAGACTCCTGCTGATAATTGGCCCTGAAGCTT